AAACATGACGCATGGAGGGCTTGGGAGCCCCCCAAAACAGGCTCATTTTTGGCAAAAACGGGCTGTGCAGAGCACTTCAGACTGCTTCTGAGGGCCAGGAAGGGTGAACATGGGGTGAACGGAGGTGAAAAACTATTTTTTTTTCTTGTCTTCCTACTGTAAATTTAAATGCATCTTATAGTCTATGCATCTTATAGTTCAAAAAATACAGTATTTATTTTAGTGGAAAGCAGGTGATCGCCTTACCTGTCCCAAATCTAACGTGACGTTGACCTCATTGAACTCCAGCCTCCGAGACAGAGGGGGGCTCTGCCACCAGCGTTCAGTCCCGTCGATAGCATTCGTGATGGGATGGGCTTTGTTGCTGTTGGATGACGAACAGATGTCACAATACTGTCCCTGTGGCCAGAAGACAGAAAATACATGGTCAGAAACCCCCAAGAAAAGCATGCATTTTTAATTCACAGTTAACAGCTCCACTCACTATCACTTACCAGACTCAACATAAAATCATTGGCCTAACCCAGTTGTAATTCAAATAATAAAAGTTTAGGGCTATTGGGTATGGCAGTGATGGCAAACCATTTTTGGCTTGCGTGCCAAAAGCGAGGGGTGCGCAGGGAGGTTGTGTGCGGGCATGTCACACCCATAATGCAATGCGTGACACACACACACCCCAGTGCACATACGCACATGACAGGCACGACCCCCAATTTTTGGCATGCTTTTTTTGCCTGCCCTTTTTTGCTTTATAGGAGCTGGGGGGAGGAAGAGCCTCCCAGCCCCCCTGGAGGCCCTCCGGAGGCTTCAGGAGCTTCCCTAAAGCCTCTGGAGCAGAAAAAACCAGCCCTATGGGCAAACCGGAAGTTCAGGAATGGACTTCTGGTTTGCTCATAGGGCCGGTTTTAGTCCTCTGGAGCCTTCAGGGACCTTCTGGGGACTTCCCTGAAGGCTCCGGAGGACAAAAAAAGGACCCTACAAGCAAACCGGAAGTCCATTCCCAAACTTCCAGTTTGCCCATAGAGGCGTTTTTAGTACTCCAGAGGCTTCAGGGACCTTCCAGAGGCTTCCCTGAAGGCTCCGGAGGGCTTAAACTGGCCCTACAAGCAAACCGGAAGTCCAGTTTGCCCATAGGGGCGTTTTTTTGTGCTCCGGAGGCTTCAGGGAAGCCTCCGGGAGGTCCCTGAAGTCTCCAGAGGACTAAAAACGGCTCTATGGGCAGTCCAGAGGGACTCCGGGGGATGGGGGAAGACTCTTTTCGCCCTCCCCAGGCTCCTATAAAGCCTCTGCAGCCTGGGGAGGGCGAAAAATGGCCTAAAAAAAAGGCTAAAGTCAGCTGGCCAGTGTGTGTATGCGCACTGGCCAGCTGACAAATGGCTTCCTGTGCCACCTGTGGCACGCGTGCCATAGGTTCGCCATCCTGGGGATATGGCCTGCAAAATCCCAGCACCCCATTAGGTGGCAGCAAGGAGATAAAGCATTTGGGATCTCCATACTGCCACCTAGTGGTCCTTTTGGATAACTGCAGCCAAGATCTAACATCCCACATTGCAATGTTTTCAAAATAACATCTCAGTAACGGATAAAAAAACATATTAGAAATGTAACTGGCCTTAAGCTCGGGAAGTAAAACACATTTGAATTTGAATTTGAATTTG